CTTGATAGACCCGAATCGTTGAAGGTATTGCAGCGCGGCATAGTTCTCTGAATGACGCAGTTATTCGCGAAGTGTCGCTTGCCCGTCATCGTTGACTCACATCGTGACGCGTAGGGGCGCTCATGGTATGGAATTGGGCTGATATCACAGTTGTACAGAATCTCCAAGAAATCATGGTGACACTGACTGCGGGAGGAGAAGTGAGGAAAGGTGCCGAGGTGCCGAGGTATCTAGGCGGTGATTCAACTTCCAAGGTTGGGTTCGACGTCTGGTAGATTTGACTGGTTGTGCTATGTACTAAAAAGTATCTATAGATTATTCATGAATCTGTTTATCTATAATTTCTCTTTCTTTTCGTTGGTACCCATAATAGTCTGGCTATTACTTTCTACCGTTTGTATTATGTACTAGCTTCGCCCCACTAAGCCTCAGAGCCTCGTATTGGACCTCAAAAACTCATTCTATCTGCCATAATTAGTGGTTTATGCCAAGTGATACTCTGCTCTGGGGCCAAACTGCCTGATCGAGCTAGTCTTGTTTCAATAGGGAAAAGGTAAGCACTAAGCAACACGTGGCGACTAACTTCCCATACCTGCAGAGTCATCCTGAGGACATCCTTAGACCTACATCCAAATGTCGTGCTCAATGTTTGTTTGCGTTGCGGAATCAATGACGACAGCTAAAGCTGTTGCCGCTAAAGAGCAGCCACGGCAAGCTGCACATCATCCCAACAGCCGCGCGTTACCTTACGCTGTCCCTTTCACCCGGCAGCAAAGCTCGTTGCTGAAAGTTCTACCGTTAGACTGTCGGCTTCTCATATGGGAACACGTCCTCCGGCCTTCCCAGACAAGAATAGAGCGCTGGCGACCCCTTTCCTATTCGATATTTCGTGAATTGGAAGTCTTGGACACGGACTGCTTTCCGTACCGGATAACCACGGCCGGCGCAGAGAAAACAGAGAAGCCACTGAGCCTGCTGCTATGCTGTCGTCAGTTGTATGTGGACCTGCAAGCTACACGCCGAGATCCTTGAGCTGATGCTAATGCTCGTTCGAGGTATTCCGAAGGACTATCGCTACTCTACTCAACAACTTTCGTATTCGAATTCCCGCTCGATCTCTACGATTTCCAGTTGTGTGTCTCTCCAGAAGGCCTTTCGAGTGTAAGGAGCTTGGTTATTGCACTAGGACAGATCGACTGGCCCGGCAGTGGCCCATTCTTTTATTCCGATGCAAAACACCCCAACGGCTCGCTAGACGAATGGATAAATGCGCTCCATGGACTGAAGTCCATGAGGTGCTTGCAAGAGCTGGTATTGTACTTAGGACACCGCCATGTTCAAGAGCCCGAGTTAGAGCGACGGCCTTGGAGAGAGGACAAGGGGAATCAGATGGTCGAGCAGAGGCACAACGATCTCTTTGAACTGTTCGGGACAATCGATGTGCCTAGATTCACCGTGTACCTAACGTGGATGCCGGAAGATCTTCTTTTCCAGCGACAACAATGGCCCTTTACGATTGAGTTACGAACGAAGGATCAGATGATGCGTGTGATAGAGAATGAGCTACCATTAAAGACAGTACTGGATTTGTATGCTTAGGAGAGATAATTAATGTAAAGTAAGTAAGATAAAGTTCAATTATACTTTAGTATTATTGAATAGCTATATTATATGCTATAGTTCTAATCTAAGTATTACTACCCCACAAAATACTAACAAACTATACTACAGCTATCTCTATAACTTTTACCCAACAGCATGTAATTAAAATGCTAAAAGAAGACAATAAGTAGAGTAACTCTTGGCGTTAGTCTTGGGCAAGGACAACTCACAATAATGGGAGGGAAACGAATTTCGAAGGCGAGCGCTATGATAACCATATTACACCCAGACGCAGATGTCGCCGCGCTCGTCTATATGCGAGCACCTACTGAAAGAAAAAGTCTCAAATATCGTGATGCAATCAGATTCCAAGACACTTCAGCAACAAACGCAGTGACTACCACAGCACGCAATGAAAGTGCCGAAAGATAATGCGGTGACTGCTAGCGCAATAGGTTAACATACCTTGACTGGTCATTGAACATATCGACTCTCCCCTTCATGGTCATGGACTGTACAGGTCGAAAAGCGGACGAAGCATGAAGGTGGACCAGAACTTGGCCGCATCTAGTACATGTGTAGCCGCGTCGCTGTACTAAATGAGGGTCGATGTGCGGAATTCGGGCTTGTTGTCCAAATATGAGATTTTGCCATGCACAGCGTCGGTACTTTGGTGCTTAAATTTGGGCACTGATGGGACGATTACGGGACATTAGAAAGACATTGCCCGGCTTTACCTACCTTAGATAGATAGCTACTAGCGCAGCATTTTATATGCATTGGTCATGATTATCATCGCGTCCACGAATCATCACCGAAAGCGGATCGTTGTGCATAGACGTCAAAGAATTTTATTGCTAAACGAGCGTTGCATATAGATGACAAGATCACACGGTAAAGACAGAATTACATAACAGCAAAGCAGATCCAACCTCCAGAAAATAAAGGGAAAACAATTTGGTCAACAGAGCGAGACCTTTTATACTGTAAAGACCGCGATTAAAATCGTAACACCCCAATACCAGGTGGAATCGTCGAAGCTCCTGTGAAGTGTACAGCGACAGGAGGATTGACTAGAGTGTCGGTGGGGGCTACTCGTATTCGGTGAGTGTGTTCTATGAATGAATGTGATGGGCCGTCTAGTAAGTATAAGCATGATTGCAATGTTCTTTCAAGGATCACTTACCGTCATTCTTAGAGAAGAGTTTTGGCAGATGCGAGACTATGACCTGGGTTCATAATCGTCGAACAATGGGTGCCAATGAAATCCTGGCCATAGGCTAAGGATAGCTAGCCTGTGTGAAGCGTACTCGCTATAGGGACGCAGAAGCGAAATGTGGGCATCACGCTCTACCCCGTAATTTCTTGAGTACTCATGATCCAGCGGCTGTCTTCTCCACACGTGACGGGGAGTATGGTTCGTCAATTCTCGAATTCCATTTCGGTCGTAGAATATGTGCTCGTCTTGAACATGATCGACGAAGGTCGTAAGGTTCTGTAACCACGCATCGCACACCGGACAGATAATGCTCAAGCTAACGGGGTGATACCCCGCGAATATGATGGCATCCTGATTGCTGTTGCGCTCATTCAGATCATGTTTTTCCGGGTGCCGCTGCATATCATATACCGAGAGCTTTTCCTCGCTGTGTTGGCATGAAGAGATCGGACAGCTTCGAAAGTGGGTTTTCATATTGCGACAAGCTTTCACAACAATATCGTCCCATTCCGCAGTAAAGATGTGCAGAAACACATGGTGTCCGAGAAGCATGAAAGGTATACGCATACTGCACTGCGTGACCGGACAGATGGCTTGCTCTTTATCTATGTGGGCAGTCCTTAGATGAAGTAGTAGCTTATCGTATCGGAGAAATAAGCGATCACAGGAGTCCAGAGGGCAATTTCCCTTTGGGACGTTCTGATGCTTAGCCTTGTGACGCTGGAGATCATACTTCCGGTTGAAACTGCCACGATAGGTACAACTCGGGTGGTCACACTTGATGCCAGTATCTGGTTTCGAAGTCCTGATGGGATCAGCATATCGTTAGAGCCTTGAGAATGGATTCTGTACTTTCGCTTATTCGCGACAATGGAATTGTCCTCGAGTACCACCGCTTCACTTTTGAACCCAAAGCACGAAGAAGAATTGAGGTTTGAGTGTGGCGAGTAATCTGCCACTATGGGTGGTGGTGTTGCATCGATAATGACAGACATGGTAGGGACACCAAGTTCGGCGTCGATACTAGCTCCGGGGAGCGGATCAACCTCCGGTGCCGGTGCATGATTCAGACACGGAGTACGTGAATCGTCCAGTGTGCTGTGACGGAGTCTTCGGTAGCCACAAGTTCTGCGCCCCGGAGCGCAGAATTTCTGCGCTTCACTATCATATCTGATATTTGCCCTTCGTTAGCCCCTGTCTTTTTTTTTACTCACCGGTCGTCGCGTGCGACCTGATCGGCGTCTGTTTCTGATGCCTTGGCTCCAATCGGGTACAGCTGGCAGGACTGGTCGATCCATTCGTTCTCGTCGTATCCGAGCTGAGCTGTGAGAGAACGTGATTGGTCCATCTTGCAGGCTTCGAGAGGGCAACTGCAGGCAGCTAGACGAGGGCAAAAAGTCGGTGCGTTGACGTAAGGCTGAGTTTGCCAAGGATGGTCGTAGGCGGGTTGTGATTGGGCGAAGGAGGTGCGAAAGGGCTCAAAAAATGAGCGGGGAGTGAGGAGGTCTTATTCCTGGGGGAGAGGAAGGCGCGAATGAGGCGGCTGAGGAAGCGCAGGCGAAATTCGCAAGGGGTGATTGCCCCCCTTCTACGAGCCGCAGCAAACTCCTAGGAACCACATGTTCAAATTTGGAAGTCTTTTGCATGAAAGGATTTGGTCCCATTGAGCCTCTGTGAGGGATTCTCAAGAGTCTCATAGATTGACTTCGTCCTTGGCCCTTTCCGAGCGTAACTTGAACGTTCGCTCTGAAAGGTACTTGAGTGGCATGTTTGCCCAACAGCTCGGGCGTGTTCGTAGCTATATCACCTCGTACTTTCGTCTCGAACGTCTACTTACATACGTTAGCGACTAAGCTCAATAAACGTCTTAATGAAAGGTTTTAATTTTCACACTTACCGTGGTCGCGGGACCATTCATCATGTCCTCCAAGATTTTAATTGAAAGCATATCCCATGTTTCACTGACAGGCTACCTCTCCGAAACAAGCTCGAGTCTCAATGAATTTCGCCTCTTGGAAGACCGCGCGATCAACTTTTGAATTATCACCACGCAGATCTGTTTCCACGGATCACTTCACCAATCGACTCGACACAACTCTCTCCCTTTGCATCTGCGCTCATTCCCGCCATTCCAGCCCACCACACTGGAAGCAAGAGCGCGACCACCAGTTCCAACGACATGCCCTCCGACATAACGGTCCCTGACAATTCGGACGATGATACCACACCTACGCTCCCCAAGTCCGCAACAGCCATCTTTATCAACCCAATACCAACCCTCCTTCCCCGCTCAGCAACCACAATCTTCACTGTCCCCGCACAATCCGTTGCCGCCGCTCCCAAAGCGCTCCTATCGACACTCTTTGAAGGGCTCAAACATGCTGCTAAGGCAGTCGTTGGGCGGCGCAAGAAGGTAGAGAAGCCAGCAACGAGTCAGACTACGGAGGAAGCGAAGGAAGAGTGCGAGGAGAATATTGACGAGTGGGAGGAGGTGGATGGGGATCATGTGAGGGACGACATGCGGAAGGATCAATTGAGGTTGAGGTGGCAGCGGGAGCACAACGTGCTGCTAGGGACTGGAGGCGAGGATGAGCACAAGGATAAGGGTCATGGTAAGTGGCGATTCTCTGCTAATGTATGCGCACGCTGACGGAGGTTAGATCCTGAGCCAGGCGTTTCTCGGCGTCGGAGGCGTGTTAGGCATTGGGACAGCGAGTCTGAAGATGAGGGTGAGGTGATTGAGGTTGTCTAGCAGGTAAGTCAGCGGGTTGCGGGTGGGGGAGATGGTTTATGGCATTGAATAGGTCTGGTGGTTGTTCATCTTTAGACATGTCTGTCTCCACAAATGTCTGATTGACATATGGGCGTGTGGTCTTCTATCAATATCACCCATTGATCCTATGACGTTGTCGTAGATCCACATCTTCTGTCCTTGTAGAAACCGTGAGAGCTGCTGCTGCACTCGCACAGAGTCCTATAACGGTGCCACATGGCAGAGTTATCCGCTTCTGTGGTTCCCAAGACCTACTCCACGTCACGGCTAAGTCTCCAACGTGACCGCCCTTGCTTATGTTCCTGTACCCCTGTTGTCTCACATCGTTCATTTCTTCCCCTTCTTTTTCTTCTTACCGCCAGCTCCCGCTTTCGGTTCCACCGGCACCCCACCCATCTTCACATCCTCTTCCACCTTCGGCGTGGAAATGCCCGCCCCATCGGTTGGCGCACTCAAATCTTCCATCGTCTCCGGAAGCGCAGCCTGGTGTCTCCCTAACCGTCCGAGGCTACCAATCAGTCTACCGACCTCCGCCGCCTTCGTTGTCTGGTACTGCAAGCAAGTCCCCGAGGCGGGATCGTAGGTCTTGAGTACGAATGTTGCTTTCGGTTCCAATGCGCTGTCCGCGGCGGGCGCGTCTGATGCGGGTCGTGAAGGGTCGGCAGGTCGCGCGGCGCGCTTCTCGAGGTACTTCTGGTGCTTTTTGATCTTCCGCGCGTTCGGTTTCAGGACGGTGTATTTGGAGGTTATGTGTGTCTGCGACGGTTTAGCGGAGGGATAGGAACAATGTTGGAATTGAACCGTACTGTGGTGGGCCGGGCTTTGAGCAGTAAGGATGACTGCTCGTACCATTCCGAGCTTGTCTCGAGGTATGGCATCTTGGACCTGAAGCTGGGGTACCTCACTCAATGTTGCTTGCGGTGGTTGTTGGAACGATGTGGAGTAACTTTTGGCGGGGTTCGGCGCTCGGAGAAACATTGGACCGTCAGGTAAAGCATCCCGCCCTACAGCAGCCCTTTCCCAGTCATCTCGAACAATCGAATATTCGACCAGAATAGCAATTTGCTACTATAGGAGTATTGTTTGGCCCTAAGATTTTCTGATCACTGTAACGGTTTGTGTGGCTAGTTGGTACCACCTGAAGCACATTTTTCCAACAACCCGGGTACAGAAATCGACACGCGAGCGCCCCTCGAACGTCCCTTGTTCTGACTCAGGGTCCCGAATATCGTAACAATCAAGATTCAAAAGTACTACCCATTTTATATGGGCGGCTTCTCGACAGCGGAGCACTTGAGAAACCTTCTCGATTACTGCGTCATTTCTATTACAATCCTGAGGTTGTACAGAACGCTCTGAGCAACATGGCTGACTCGCTAGCTTCCAGTGTCCAAGCCATGGATCTGGATGTGCCTGATGTCGACACGCTTATCGAACGATGCAAGACCCTGCATGAAGAAGTAGAACAGTACGTCACAGCGGTTGATGTCAGCCAAAAACAAGCCAAAATACCCTACCAAGTGGAGTACCGCACCCTGCGGAGCGACTTCAAAAACGAACTTGGCTTTTTACAAAAACTGAAGAGCGCAAATCATCCCCCAGAAAAGGCTCGGCATTACGCCGTATCCTCCAATTTGCTGTACTATGAGGCGCTCTGGGCAGCGGCAAAACGATCATCAGGTTTACTTGCATTCCGGAAATACTTTTACTGGAATCGACAAAGAGGACAAGCAAAGAATGGAATAAGCTTCTCCAAAGGCAGCGGGGTCAAGGGGAAAACTTCTGCGCTGGTCGATATTGTGGCTGCTGATGGCATGGAATGGATACGAGTGTCTACCACTTCGGAGAAGCGACTATTATTCGATCTTGCCAAGCTAGGTTGGCAGAACGACTCCGATTCCGAGATGGAGGACGACGCTCCGACCAACTGGGAAGACGAAGACGATGAAGACCAAGTCGAGATTGTCAAGAGCGCTCGCGAACTTGCTCGCGCGGCCCGAGCAAATCCGATGCGTGGCCACGCACCAAAAGTGCGGTATGTACTGACGCGACTAGCATCTGGAAAGCTGAAAGAGGTGGACATGATCTTGGATAAAATGAGAGCGGTCGGCATGACAGTCCAATGCGCGAACGATATACCAGAGACACCATCGGTCGAAGAAGCACTTCCAAACCTGCTGGTTGATAGATCAAGGACGCTTTCAAACACACTCAACATCGACTGCACTATCCTCCTGGCACTGATATCAGACATCTCACACGGTGAATGCGAGATACTAGACTGGTATCCCGGCGAAGTGCGCGCTCAAATCCTCGAAGAGCGAAAAGAGAAGCTCCTCCCAACGCACCTCTACCCAGCCATCGCCTCCCACCCCATGGTAACCACCCAAGAAGCCGCCGACCAAATGAACCTCATCGTCGACACGCTCGCCACTGACGCCGAGAAACGCCGCGCAAATCTTCTGCTAGCGCAACGAGATCGCGTCGGCTTCTCCTCCGCCGACCTTTTGAAAGAGTGGCAGGAATTATCAGACCACGCCTCCCCACCAAACTTCCAGCTCCCTATTATCGTCGCCCCTGCCGCCATACCTTCCCGCGTTGACACGCTTCCTGCGGCTGCGAAGAAAATGGCGTCTGAGCTGGGGCCGTTGAACACGGCGATCTTCTTCTACGGGTGGGCGGAGGGACTGACGACGCTGAGCAGCAATCGCGCAAGGGCGAAGCAGATTGAGAGGTTCATAAATGACGTGGGACTGAAAGATGGGGAGGCTGGGCCGCATGTTTGGCTGTGTGGGGAGAGTAGGAGTTTGATTGCTAAGTGTGGGAGGAGGAAGTAGGCACCTGTGGAGATTGATGCATCCTGGTCGGGTAGGCACATAGAGGGGCATCGTACCTGTAGAGCTATAGAAGCTTTGATGTGGTTATGCCGTGCGTGAGTGATGCCGACTGGAGATGTATGATCATACTGTCGCATACAGTATGCACAAGAGAGGTGCTTCCAAGACCATGAAATAAATATCATCGAGAGGCATGCTCATTGATTGTTTTCATTTCGATGTCAGATCTTGAGTACTCCACATACAATCAGGCAAATAGTGTCGTGAGGAACGGGCGGTATGTCCGGATGTAGCTTCAGGCGCGATTGAGGTCGGACCTCATTAGTGATCCTATAGTAGCACGGGCTACTATAAGTGTTCAAAAATCTCACTGCACACGGGTCGCTGACGTTCGCATTTACGCAAGAGCTAAGGCAGCTACTCGGACCGTGCAGCCTCCGGTCCAAACAGTGGAGGCGATGGCGTTCTCCAAACAGGTTCTCCAAAGTGGAGCAGGCAGTAGTAGAAAATTTACTCCACTGCGGGCATGCATTTCCAGACTACGAGATCGCGGTGAAGTCGATCAGGGTTTTCATACTCAGATTGATTCGCGTTCATAATGCGCTACGCGCGTCGCGTCCGGCTCTGCCGACCTGGAAATTTGTGCTTTGAGTGCGTTCTGGTGTTGTTGAGACGCTTCAGACGCAATTGATGCCTTGCATATGCACGTATGGGGAGCCGCGAGCAGACTGCCGCCTTTACGCGGGTTGCGCAACGGTTTCCCTTGCTCTATGTGCGTTCTGAGCGATTTGATAGGCTGTTGGGGGATCGGTCGATAATGTGTGAAACAAGCGTACTCGTGATCCGGCGTTGGTGTTGTGCGGCTGTCACCGTGGCAACGCGACTTCCCAAAATAAACGGCTGATACTGGGCCGCTCGCTATCACCACCCCAAGCCATCTCCAACATTGCATCACACTCCGCTTCCGCACAAACACTCAATCTGAACTTCTTCATTTCACGCGACTCTTGTTGCGCGGCCCCGCTCACTTGCTTAGGTCGAAGGATCGCGCCTGCCACGACAACACGCATACACATTCCTCGGTTCTGCAGCTCCCCCCACCTGCACGCAGATCATTCGTGCATGCGCCTTGACAGTCGACGATACTAGCCGGGAGGCTCACCAGTCGCAATGGACACGAGCTACCTGGCCCAGCAAGTCACCACCATCATCGGCCAGCTGCACGGTCTTTTCGACGAGATCGGTGTCGCCAGCCATGAGCGCGACTCGCGCGAGGCCGAGGTGAGCGCACACTCAACGATAGATACAAATTGAGTACTAACGCGCTGCAGCTCTTCTCGGCGCTCTCAGAAACCCTCCACAGTCAGCTTAAGCAGACGACAAACGAGAAGCATGAAATGACTGAGGAGGCGGAACGCCTTATTCGGACAATCCGCCAGATGGAGGCCTCGCTTGACGACAACAAGCCCAACCCCAACTACGAGATTGATGATGGCCTCGACGTCACCTACCCATTGACGCGCTGCCTCAAGGAGCTGAAGGAGAAGTACAGCACCGTCAGCAAACTGCACCGCGAGCGCTTTGAGCAAGTGCGCAGTATGTCACCTCCTCTGCTTCGTATGTTTTTTTTTGTACTAACGCGCCGCAGAACTTGCCGAAGCCCTCGAATCCTACGCATCACATCTAGATAGAGACTTCGTGCAGATCAAGCTCCCTCCCACCGCGCCGAACGCTGCCATCTCACCAGCTTTCGACATTTCGCCATCTTACGTCGCTTCTCTCGACCACGAGTTCTCTCGCGTATACGAAGAGTACAACCGCCGCTTGAACACCGTCCAGGTGCTATGCCAGGAGATGATCCAACTATGGGCGGAGCTAGGCACGCCGCAGGCACAGACAGACACTTCGGTCGTCAAGTACCACCGCGAGGCTCCGGAGCAGCTTGGCCTGCACAGCGAGGACATCGCTGAGCTCAAGGCGAAGAAGGAGCGCTTGGTCGAGGAGAAGCGCGGGCGCGAGCGACGATTGGGACAATTGCGCTCCACGATTGAAGACCTGTGGGATCGGCTGAACGTCGACCAGGCGGAGCGCAAGCAGTTCTTGGCTGGTAACCGCGGCTGTGGCCTGCGAGCGATCAATGAGTTCGAGGACGAGCTTGCGCGATTGAATGAGCTGAAGCGCCAGAACCTGCACATCTTTGTCGAGGAAGCGCGAGTGAAGTTGCAAGAGCTCTGGGACGCGTTATACTTCTCTGAGGAAGAGATGCTTGACTTTACGCCTGCGTTCTCCGATGTCTGCACCGACGCCCTTCTCTCATCGCATGAAGCCGAAATTTCCCGCCTAGAAGTACTTAAGGAACAGCGACTGCCGATTCTCCGGAAGATTGACAGGCATCGCGAGCTTATCAAAGAGCGCGAAGACCTTGCGCAATCAAGTCAGGATGCGTCTCGCCTGATGGCCAAGGGACAGAAGGGAGAGAGGCGCGATCCAGGTAAATTGCTTCGAGAAGAGAAGATGCGCAAGCGAATCTCAAAGGAGCTGCCCAAGATTGAAGCCGAGCTGAAGCAGACGCTTGAGCAATGGGAGGACGAGTATGGCCGGCCCTTCTTGGTCCTGGGCGAGCGCTATCTCGACGAGCTGTACGCCTGCGCTCAGAAAGCTCCGCCACCACGATCAAAGACTCCCTCTGCAGCTCCCATGCCTGTGAAAGGGCACGCAAAGTCCCAGTCGGTTAGCTCGGTTAGTCGGCCGGCGACTGTCCGTGGTCCGCCTCCTAGCAGATCGAAGACACCTGCATCGAGTTTCAGTTCAAGCACCATGGGACGCAACCCGTTCGCAAGCTCGACTATGTCGACAGCCTCAGCACAGAAGAGCCCTTCCAAGATCCCCGCTCGTGCTCCGTTGAAGACAATGCAACATGGTGGTAATTCACCGGAACGAAGGATGGCCCCGCCGTCCCGCGAAGACCTCAGGGAGTCAACGATGCGAAAGATGCCGCCACCGATGGCACCCCCGCCACGCATGAAGGACTTGTTCGTGCCTCCGGATCCAGTAGCAACACCCATGAACCGTTTCGACTTCAACCGCGGTGAGCGGAGCGAGAGCGTCGTACGCCATGTTCCACCTGAGGATCCCTACGATGACCGTAGCTACCTATCGCAAACGATTCGCTCCAACTACACGCCGCAGTACATCCCTCCGCAAGGCAGGCAAATATCCCAGACTTCGTCAACAGGGACCGGTGCTACCATGCAGTCTGGCTCCGAAAATTGGGAGACATTCAGTGAACAATCGGACGACCCGCCTGAGCGCGACGTTGACCTCTACTACCACCGCCAGCAGATGGCCCGCAACAAGCGCTTCACTCCCGATGGTGGACACGCTTCGTCGCCCCGTGGTGTGAATGGCAAGAAGATACGAGCCATTCGTCCGGTAGAGGGCGACTACATGGTGGAACAAGGCGGGCAGTTGGTCCGCGCGATATCGGGCAGCGAGTGCGGATGGACCGACGATGGCGACGCGTTCTAGGAGAATCGTACCCCATCTGGAAGTACCCCGGACCTCGAAGATACTGGACCTGGTGACGAACACGCACATCCTCTTCGTATCTCCGACCCACTTCGTAACGATCTTGTCACGTCTGACGCTCCACCTCCTGGATGATGTTCTTTGTCTTGTCTTGTCTCCCATCTGGATACGATACGAACACGATGTCGAACACGATATCCGAACGACGATCTTTATCGACGAACTCGTACGAATTCACGGCCAAGCGCGTGTCTGCTCTCTCGATCGTGCGCTGCCTCATTCATTCTCCTTCTCTTGCTGCCTTCCTTCTCTGTAATTCTTTTAAAGACTGGGCGGCCGGCTGTGTCATTTCTTTCAAGAGAAAAACGTTCTCTTCTTTCAAAAGGCAGCGGGAACTGCTTCCTTTTTCCTTACCTTTACTTTTATACATTACATTGTTGCTTTGCATCTTCCTCGACCGGGCGTTTGGCGTGGCTGGTGCGAAAAGGAGGGATGGTTAGCTTTATTGGCTTTATTGGGTAGTGTGTGCTGTGCTGTGCTTGCTGCATTGAGCTGGAGGGTGTATTAGTAGAAGAGAGAAGATAAGTGAAATGAAGATGTCGTTGCCAACTTTGTGAACTCGTGCTATGCGTGACCTTCGATCCTGCTAGATTGATCGTACGCTACACTTGTTCTACCAGGCTAGAACAATGTGTCGCAGGTACCCCTCGTCCGGGCTAAACATTGCAGTGTCGACGCAGTGTCCTGGCCACATATGCGGTGGACTGTTCACGACGTCCCCGTGTCCATGTGTACCGGTATGCAAGACACCTCCTCGTCTGGGCTAGAGATTGCAGTGCACTGTGTATCGTGGGTGAGAGTACACCGGGTTACTGTGCATGGTATTCGGCTGAGTGCTACACTACCTTATCACTGCCACGTTCCACTGCGCGAAAGGCCTCCTCGTCGAGGCTAGAGATTGCAGTGCTTTCATCTCATGTCTGAAGCGGTAGCTGGTTGGTTTAGCTGAGGGTGATACTGTGTTCAGCATCGGGTGGTGCATTCGCCACATCAGACGGGTCGTTGAGGCTAAGATTGCAGTGTTTTCGTCTGATCTCTGAAGCGGCAGCTAATTGGAGTCCAGTGGGGTTCAGTTGATTTGTTCGCCACTTCAGACGGGTCATTGAGGCTAAGATTGCAGTGTTTTCATCTCATCTCTTGGTCTAGTCGAGTCCTACACGGTGCGGCAAGAGTCAGTTGATTTGGTCGCCACATCAGACTCTCTGCTCGTCGAGGCTAAGATTGCAGTGTTTTCGTCTGATCTCTGGCAGGTACAGCTAAGTGGTCCAGCAGAGTCCTCGTTAGGAGAGATATCAAAGTGTATGCAAAGTGGTACGTTTCTCCGAGCCCACTGCTCTGCTTCTTAATTTGCAAATAAAGCCAAAACCGTAGTGATAACTGAATCTGCTATATTGCGTTCTCATGCCTGACAACGCATACTGTCACGAAGAGAGCATCCGAGCAGGAAATAGGAATCAGACTCTGCTGACTATGAGATAACAACTCCGCCTTTCTACATGTACTTCATGTCGCTAGGAAAATGTGGGCTCTATGCGTGGTAGGTCTTCAGACGACCTTACCTCCTGCCTCCTCGTCGAGGCTAAGGATTGCAGCGCACTTATGTTTGATATAGCTTCGCCGTCACACTGTGGACGAAAAGACTCACACCACAGAGGATTTTCTACTCAATAAGCCTCTCCATTGGGTCTAACATGGCAGTGCAAAGCGGCGCAGGACCAGCATTTCGGTACGTGATACCATGTACAATAGGCAGCAATGATACACAAATGGTCACGCACGAAGACTTCTCGTCAGAGCTGACTGTCGCAGTGTGTTTCAATCCACGCCTTGTGAGGATGTGTGTCCAGTAATGGCGAAGTGGTCGTGCAGAAGGACTCTTGGTCGAGGCTAAGATTACAGTGTAAGTGGTTACGTTCACGTTAGCTGTCAGGGAAGTGACGACCGGCTTCGCATGCTTAGCGCAAGACAGTTACACTGAGTATACGCGTACGATGTTGCTCGGTACTCATTCTGGGTGGACGATGATTACTGGCGCTGCCACGGACTTCGGTCGGGGTACTGGAGTCGCCATTCAACACAATGATTCGTTAGGAACTTATGTACCACGTGGTGAGGTTAGATTGTGTTGAGAAGTGCATGTTGTGACCGGATTTGCGAGCTTTGTGGATGGGGTGGAGGCTCTTTCTTCGAACATCCATTGGTCTCAACTCTATTTGACCTTAGTCCGCCACTGCGTTGGATTTTTCAACTAAGGTTCGTATATCTGCAGACTCTTTACAGCGACTAGCAGCCGTGATTTTCTGAGACTGTTCAGCCATGTGGTTTTGAAAATTTCAAAATGTAGCAGCTTTGAGAGTTGTTCTTCATCAAAAAGATCACAGAGGCAACGCTACATCGTGACAGTAGCGAATTGGTATAGTTTTCTCGTGCCCAATAGGTGGAATGTTGATGAGACAACATATATCTGGATGACTGTACTGATGATGTATAAGTATCGTTGAAATACGTAGGATAATGGCCATTTCATAAACCGAAGTTCGTTACCCAATCTTCTATGTTCTGCTTCTCACTCAACACGGCAGCGTCCTCTGGACTTAGACTCAACGCCGCATTAATCGCAGCAACCGCGAACGGAATCGTGGCTCCAAGGCCCTCCAATCTCATGAGCTTCGCAAAATTAGACCACCACTTGACTTTCTGAGCTTGTGAGGGTTCCCAGTCAAGTTCCATTCCCCAGAATCCTTCTTCCATGCTAGACTTCAACGACGTCACAGCCGCCTTGGTGCCAGGAAGGACATCGAATTTGCCTTTCTCCATCCACGCTAAACCCACATCGGTAACGTCAAGGTTCAAAGCGAAGTAGAGCTCAGCTACGCGTGCCACGAACGAAGGGCCTCCTTTCTGAATGAGCCTTTCCCAGGACGATCCCCTATGTGCTTCCTCAATCTGATAGGTGACATCGCACCAGTATGCCAGGGCCCCTTCTGTGTCTCCAGCTACTAAACGTTGCCAACCGTATTTCTGCCCTGCGGCCCACGACTCGAGAAGCGCGACCGAATCAACGTATCTCTCCCGTGAGGCTTCTTCTTCGACCGCTTCAGCAATCATGCGATCTACACTTCCGCTGATGGTGGTCTGCGGCATACCGCGAATCCTCGCTCGGAAGGGCGCGAGAAGATATTCCTGTGTCTTGGTCGAGGAGAAGTACTCGGTCAGCGGCTGCAACTGGAACGGCGGACGTGTTACAACCGGGCCGACCTCAATGTCTAACGACAGCGGCATCCTGTAGTCGTCTAGACGATGGTCGCCCCGCAAAATTGCTCGGCACAACTTATCGACGTCTTCGAAGAGCATGATGATATTGGCCGGTTCCAGGAAGACTGAGCGTGGCAGCAGCTCCCTCCAGTCTTGGCGACTGTTCCCAATCGTCACGCGTAGAGCATAGCCTCGGAACCGCTGTGTGACCCCTCCAGCCTCCTGACTACTGTTGGTTTCTTCTCTTTTCTCGTCGGCATCTGATTCAAACACTATCATCGGCACGCGGTGCTCCACGCACATGTAGACGAAATGAACACCGCCCGTGCAACACACGTGAACAAAGCGGTTGGTTTTGACCATGACTTCGTAGCTTTCCGCATATATCTGTTTGTTAACGCGCAAGATCCCAGGATTGAGGCTTCGCTTCGGGACCAACAGAACGTTCCCCATGCTAGTAGGAGGCGGGAATGTGCATAACAGAATCCCGTATATCTTGTCGCGAATTTCCCGAGGGAGGTCAAGAAATCGAAAAGATGCCATGACTGTTGTAGTTAGCTGCTGTTGCGATATTGTTTACTAGCCTGCAAATTGTTATGGCCGAATGTTGCTGTTGGAAGTTTAGGCACGCGTCAAGCGGGGTTAAATAATCGCTTGTGGGCACCTCGTATACACATGTAACTTACCATGCTTTAGGCTTAGTCCTCGTTACTCCCTCTCGAGAGTGTGGGCTTATGAATACAATATGGACGTCGAAAGCTGCGCAAAGTCCACATTTTCCGTGAACAAGGACGAATTCTCGACTGTGTGCACTTGCATGCCAGACCTTATACTAATGAGCTCATCAGAGAAATTTTGGTAGCAGACAGTCACAGACGCTCTATGGCAAGCCGCGCAGAAGCTGCAATAGTTTGCGAGACAGTATGAGTAAGATTCGACGAATGTGAGTCATGTGACTACGAAGGTCGCTTCTGGTTCGCGGGAAGGCTCCTGCGAGACCGTAAACCCTCTTTTCAGAAGTACCGTTTTTTATCTCTCGTTCTCACTTTAGATTTCGTCCGGAACATCTTGAACTGATGTTCAATGGTGTTGTACCCCTGGGCAATCAGCTACTGCTAGTACGACACCAGTACCTCGAAGAGGTGCGCCTTTTTGGATGCTATTATTTGGGACCGACGCGATTGTCTGTGAAGAATAGACAGAAATACCAAGGTTCACGGCAGTCAACTGAGATGAGGAATTACAAGTAAGATGTTGGGTGGGAGGATACTTCGGAAAAGATGTGGAATGGCGGAGTTAGCGTAAATGCCGAGGTACAGTCAGCACGTGACCTTATCGATAGTACACAAACGTCATTCTTCTGGTTGGTTACAAATGACATGTCTTTAACACCAACGCAACTACTTTTCCGCTGCTTCCTTATGAGTTTGCTAGCCTACACCATCCGGCAATCTACTACCAGATTTTCTGTCCGATCAATTGCCAGAGTAAGCTGCACCGTTACCTAAGTTGTGAATGAACTAACGTCATCAAGCCTGCCGCATCCCGCGCCATGCACATCCAATCAATTCCCATGTGTATGAGCACCATGATGGAACATGGTGCCATTTACTAACGCATGCAACAGGGGAGGGTACGGGCAACAATTATGCCTACCTCGTAACGGATGACAAGTCCAAGGAATCGGTCATCATTGACCCTGCGAACCCGCCCGAGTAGCTCTACCTCCTCGTATTGAACGGCTCATATATTGACCATTTCCCACAGGGTTCTACCTGTATTGAAAGAGAAGACCGAAAGTAGCGCAATCAAGCTCTCAAAGATAATAAACACCCACCAGTATGTAAAGACGCAGTTTTGGTGCTGCGTGCACTAAACATCAATAGCCACCATGACCACGCTGGCGGCAACACCGAGATTGTGAGCCCACTCCAAACTTTAAGTATGGGGCGAATGTGTCTGACCAAAACAGCTCAAGCACTACAAGCTCCCCATCGTGGGCGGAAAAGATTGCACACAGGTCACTGATACCCCAGCACACAAGTCGCAGTTCAAGATCGGTGAGAGCATCAAAATGACCGCACTTCACACGCCATGCCACACGCAGGACAGCATCTGCTATTACTTCGAAGATGGCTCGGACCGTGCTGTCTTCACGGGAGATACCCTCTTCATTGGTGGTTGCGGTCGCTTCTTCGAGGGCAATGCTACCGAAATGCACAAAGCACTCAACGAGATTCTTGCTTCTCTTCCGGATGATACCAAAGTCTACCCAGGCCATGAATACACAAAGGGCAACGTACGCTTCGCTAAAAAGGTCTTGGACAATGAGGCCATTCAGAAGCTCGACGAGTTCTCTCAAGCGAACAAGGAGACCCAGGGGAAGTTCACCATTGGCGACGAGAAGGTCAGTCTAGTCGTGTAATTGTACAAGAATTGCGCCAGGGAAATGCTGACTGATCATAGCAACACAACGTCTTCATGCGTGTCAATGATCCGAATATCCAGCAGCTTGTCGGCCAGAAGGAGCCGGTCGAGGTTATGAAGACGCTTCGCGCGATGAAAGATAGGTCCTGAGAGCTAGGAAAATACAGGCAGTACCCCATATTGAACCTGGCAAGTTAAAGCGATAGTATGCCAAAGTCCCGAATTTCAGTTACGTGTACTAAAAGCTACTCGCGGACAGGTGTGTTAGATATGGAGGAGTCCCTTATGCATGACTATAGGTATATATTAACCGTTACTTTCGCGACCCGGAAGGCGTTCGGAAGCTTCTAACTACCAAGCTCCAACAGCATCACCTCCGCCTTCTTCGTCACTCCCTTGCAAAATATAATATGCCAAGTGTCCAGATGTATGCCACTTCCACAGCCTTGTTTGCCTCGCATCCGCATACATTGCCTATTGATTACCTCTAGACCGGAATCAACTGCGCCGCACCCAATATATTGGTTACCTCTAACCCGGAAAGAACTGCGCCGCACCCGAACGCATGTCACCCGACCACTATTTGAATGCCATGCACCTGTTCAGGGGTGTGTCCCCAACCTTTGCTGAGATGTGGATCGTGAATCGCAGCCTCCAAGAACTGGCATGATTTCGGAGTGGCAAACTATGCGATTCAACACAAAGAATACTTCCATGATCCTTTTGTCTTCCGTCCGACCCGATGGCTCAGCGTATCACAACATAAGGGCGGAGCTAGTGCCGAAGAGGTTCATCTCGCGTACTCTGCGTATGCCGCTTTCAGCGTTGGACGAGCAAATTGCCCAAGAAAAAATCTCGCATATAGCGACATGATGACCGTTATGGCAAGGCTAGTATATGTTTGCACTCAAGACGACCCAAGAAGGTCACAGAAGTCAACCTCTAATCAAAGTTCGTGCTCCGTATCACGTCCTCCCACTCGTTACAGATAGTCAAATTACTGACAGCTTTCTTCCTCAAAGTCGTCAGACAGTCTGGGCCCAGGGGCAGCCTTTCCGGCAGAGGTTTGCCTTGTGCCACGCCTTCCTCCTTCACAACGTCAATAATGATTCTCACAGCCTTCTCCGGATCTCCGGGCTGATGACCATTGATGCTCTGGACAAATTGTGCGACGCCGTCGCGGATAGGTTTATAATCATCAATAGGTTCCGAGCGAAGTTTAACGTTCGCTGGGTCCATGATCTTGGTGCGAAAGAACCCGAGTTCAAATATCACGCTCTTGATACCCAGATGATCAGTTTCTTGCTTCAGACATTCGTACCAGCCTTCTAGGGCGAATTTGGTACCACAGTACTATGTGAATGTCAGTTTGACACTACGCATGTAGCTCCGCCATTCTACTGACCGGACCAGCACCAGGTTCGCCAGCAATCCCGCCAGATGACCCTATGAACACAACAAATCCTGATTTCTTTTCGCGCAGGTGCGGAAGGATTGCCTGCGTGGTTTTGATGACACCAAAGAAGTTGGTCTCGAACTGGGCCAAATAGTGATCATAACAACGAGCGGGTAAGCAAGTTGCTCTCAAAATTGTGTCTGATAAATACATACGTAGCTTCCTCAGCAAGCCCGGCCTCAATGTAGCCGGCATTGTTTACGAGAACGTCGATTGGCCCACTTTCAAGTATCTTCGCTACCACAATCCTGATGTCGGATAGCGAGGCAGTAACGTCAAGGCTGAATATCTCTGCACCCGCTTTTTTGAGTGGAGACAGACGAGACAAATCCCCCCGTGCGGTTGCAACAACTTTGTCACCTCGCGCAATGATGCTACGCACCAAGGCCTCGCCGATTCCGGAAGAGGACCCTGTGATAAGCCATCTCATCGGAGGCATCGTCGTGAGTACGGCGTATGAATCTGGATTTAAAAATCGCTGAGGTCTTCGGAATGACAAGTTTGTCGACTGAATACAGTTGAGGGTCAAGTTGCTAGTTAATAGTGGGTTTGTCTTAGACAAAGACAAAGAGGAATCCAGCCTGTGCCGCAAATATAACTACCTGGCCCGGGATTCTAAATTGGGTTTTCGTTGCTTCGAGCACCTGACAGACATCAATAGGGCTGGAGCCACGCCATCGGCTACATACTTGCAGATACGAGCCGCGGCACGGCGGCGCAGCCACGGCAGGGGGAAAGCATCAACCATTACGCGATACCAATAAATGCGGGCGACGCAAAGCCGTTGAGCAGGTGCTGGAACCAAATTATCTGATGGCACCAATAGTCAATTATTAGCATAGAAAAAGCATAGACATGTATCAAAAGCGCTACTCTATCTAGTTATATTTGTAATAGCCTCAATATTGTGCAATGTATTCCCTTCTATTTCAATTTATTCTCCGAAGCTATCCTTACGTACTTTACTCCCCTACAACTTGCACACGTTGACACTTACAGAGTTGCGTGGATAACGTCCGTCTAGTAGTCCGTCTACGTGTAGTGCAGCTGCGTTCCTCCATAACGTGTCAAGCTAAAGAATGCCAGCTCATCCGGTAGCTTCGATGTGACTAAGACCCTAGCGCGCAGAAGCCTCAGGCACTGTGACGACTAGAGCGGCATGCGTGTACAACGCATTAATGCCAGCGTCATTTCCATACTGAATCGGGCGTTAGCTACCAGTAGACCGCTTGGAGGGCAGCTCGTACTTACGGTTACATGCACGAAACTGATATCCCTGGACGCTGGCTTCGTCAGCCACTTAATCTTAAGCCAATGCGCGTCAGCCTCATCGAGGATCTCTTGACGCAATGCGTCGTAGCCGACCGGTGTGAATATGATTTCCCCACAGGAGTTGCCCACAAAGCTCTTCTCGACGTTATCCTCGTCCTCGTCCTCCGTCTCAACCTCGCCATCGTCACTCCAGCTATCAGGTTTATCCGGATCGTAGTCGTCGAACATGTGATTGTGCTTGAGATCGTAGATGGGACGCACGGAGATGTCTAGGCCAAGTGCTTGGAAAACAGAGTAGACGGCCATGTCCGCACCTTTAAGAATACCTGGGAGAGCTTTGGCACCCTCCTCCGTCGAATGCGCATAGGCATGTTGACAGAAGATGCCGAGATTGCCCCCTACAATGTTAGTCACTGACACATATTCTTACGAAGATGCTCACCTGTAGCCATGAAGTCTGGATCGTCAAGCGCAGCCTTGATTTTGTTGAACAGCGGGTGTTGCGCAATATCCATGGCAGGGCTGTTGCCAGCCAAGTCGCCAACGCCTGGAGTACAGTAGAGATTGTAGGTCAAGGTGATACGATGGCCCTCGGTGACCTCCAAGACTTCATGTTCGCAGTCACTGTAGAAAGCAGCCCACTGAATAGCTGTCTTGATGTTTCCCTTGGAGCCAGAAGCACCCCAATCGAAGGTTGTGGAGTGATCACCATGACGCACAATGAGTTGGCCGCCCTCATGGTCACATGGGAGACAGACAACAAGCGAGCCAAACTGGGTATCAGAACGAGGGGTGTCCACGTGGGTCTTGAAAAACCCGGAGGGTGCGCCGTATATCTAGCAAAGGGATCAACAAAAGACGTTCTATGCAAGGCGTGCCCTTGCAATTGATAAAGAGAAACCTACATTCAGCTTGTATAGCTCCGCCTTGACGCCGTTCGTACCCAGGTCAGATACAGCGTTCGGAAGCAACACTTGAGCAATGGTATCTACAATACCAAGCTCGTATGGACAGAAGTCGGTCGAGAAACCCGTACGATCAAGCTTTGTCGCCTTGCGGTACGATTCGTCAATGACATCCTCGCCTTTGTAGCCAAAGCTCGCTGGTTGACAGTCCTCGACCAGTTTGAGAAGAGACGCATTCTGATCCTCGTTGGACCCATCGATCGGAAAGATGAGCTTCGAAATACCCGACGAAGCTCCCGGAGAATCCCAGCGGAGAGCAAATGGGGACGTCGAAGAGGCATTGGTCGTCTCTTTTGCTCCAGCATTTGACTACACTATACATCAGTAGTGCGTAACAAGTGATTCAATATAAGGGACGTCATACAATGGGCACAAAACCGCCACAGGCAAAGGTGGAGGACTTGCTCGCGATGAAGGCGCCCAGCTCTTCAGATATCGAATCGTGGAAACTACGGTTGGTTGGAGCCATCTCTGCTACCACTGAATATGGCAATATTTTCATGTTGCAGATTATAGCAGCAGTTGTACTTGCAAAGACCTTGAAGTTGGTTTTTTTTATATCTGGAGTTCGAAGCCAGCACACGGACCACAAAGTCACGTGTTGCAGCCTGGAGACTGGTTGCACAGTGCGGGGGTCCAACGAGTTAGCTTAGGCACCAACATACCTGTTATTGTTCATTCTGAGATTCACTAGATAACAGGAGAGTTGGAGGCTAGTGAGAGCCGGAGAATTGTTCACAGTCATTGACCGGTCTGAGACGCTAGGCACAAAACCGTTGTAAGCGGACGGGGCTGTAGCCTAAAGCACCTCAGCGCAGCGCAACGATTGGTAAGAATTGGTCTTCGTACTGACGCGGTCCGTCTTCAGCTTCCTTCAGGAGCATTCCTGGGTGACTATCTCTGGTATCCAACCAGCTCTTCCTGGACTTGCCTAGATATTGATCATGTATGATGTAGCAGCGATGATTAGGACCCTCGTTCTCGGAAAAACGTCTCTGTGCTGGTTTGGGCAGTATCGCAAGGAGAAAAATACCCTTGTTCAGAGTCCCTGAGTTTGAGTTCACAATACGCAACTCCTGCTATCACACGCCAGCAATGATGGAGCGGACGTTTGCGGCCGTGCACCTTCCCATCAACACCCTTCCATGCTGTCGGCTATGGACATTGAAGAGTTGAGCGGCTGGGTCAGAATATTTTCCCGTATTCTCTATATTCTGTCAATAAAGATTCGCGTAATCTGCAGTCAGTCTTGAATGAGGCTAATAAGGCATTGATGGAAACGTCGTTTAAGGAAGGCATCTCTGAGAGTAAGCCAAGGGTACGAAGGGCTAGAGCTTATCTGGATTGCTATGAGTACTAATAAGCTAGGCGATGTGACGGAATTGCTGGAAGAATCCCAATATTGTTGTGGCATTAGAAGGTGTGAAGGACGGCAGTATGGGTGATAATCACGTGGGCCCGGGGAAAGCATGCATCGTGGAACCTGATCTTTGACAGTTACAAGCACGAGTACGGACATCAATAGGATGTCATGGTAGTCATTGGTAGGCAAGCAGGTAACTCACACATCCCCAGATTCCCGTCACCTGTTACAGAAGCATTACTGGCTTACAGTCAGTTACCAGCATGAAAAAGTACGAATGGGTATTATAAGCGCTAGTCTATCTATTCTATGCTTCTAAAACTCTTGTCTTACAATTACGACTCCTCGTCCGAAGTTGTGCTCTTCTTCAATCCGCCTTCATTCTCTCTTGCTAGGGCCTAACTCTCCTGTTTGTCCCTTCAAATTTTCCACATTTCATGTGAGGGATGTTCACCAGCACATTCCTGCGGTGAGAGATCCGTCAAGAATGTACCCTCTGGTGTGGTGGGTATTTGTGTGGAGGAGCTGCATCGCTATCGGCATGCTTATCCTTCTAAGTCCTCGTAGATGCTTCGGGAGCGGGGTTGAAGAATACCTCAAAGAAGTATCATAGCAATGAGTAGGCTTACCCAAGCGAACGTACTGGCGATAACAGGATTCAGGGAACGTGAAGACCAGGATCCAGCAGGGGCAAATGTTGTTGTTTGGGTAGATGCAATGTAAAAGCTTGTTGTTGGTTCCGATGTAGTATGTGCAAAGATCGGCGTGTTACTGGAGAATATTGTCGGTGTCGCGCCTGCCTCTTCAGAAGTTGTCTCCAGGTCATCAGATGTAGGATTCGGATCATCGGATGTGGGTTCAGGATCTGAATCTGATGTAGGCGTGGCATCTGCGGCAACCTCCGCAAACTTCGCAGTCACCGCAGCCCCCATGGTCGGCTCATCTGCACAGTACGTGCTGTAGTCTCCTGCCGTCTGTCCCAACTGACACCAGACGTCGTCGTCCAAGTTCCCACCCGAACACCTGGTTGTAACACTTGCACACCCTTTGGCTAGAGAGTTCCATTGATCCGGTACCCAATATGAGCCTGATTTACAAGCGCAATCTTGGCCCGCATTTCCACAGTAAGACCTCAGACTTGACCAAACGCTGCAGGCATCTTTCGCTTCAGTGGGTGTGAATGTTTGGGTGACCGTGTGATCGGAAGGCGACGTCGCTTTCGCCGTGACGGTCATGCTTTTGCCTTGCGGACGATCGCGATAGCCGCTAGGGAATGGATTTTCCTTGCCGGTGGCCCCAGCATATGGGTTATCAGTCGGTAGATAACTCTCCTCTGCTGCGAAAAAGCCGTACATCTTGGAGTAGAAGGGAAGCTCGGGTCCGTCGAAGTCTACATCTGGATTAGTGCATCGTACTCGTGCGGCGCATTGATAACGTACTTTCGAATAGTGCCTGCTCCCGGTCGTCCTCTTTATAGGAGCCCAGAGAAAATACCGATTCATCATCTTCGAATATCATTTCATCTTGTGGCCGCGGCAGCTCGACTAGTTTAGGCAGTGTTTGTTCCCCATTTTTAGATCCACCGACTTTGTTAATTCCATTCCCGCCTTTGTTCCCACTGTTGTGATTTGGAGGTTTGCTTGGTGGTGGCTTAGGTCGCGCGGGTGGGACTACTGCCTTAGGTGCGATGGGCTTCGGAAAGACGGGCACTGGCTTGGGAATGACTGGGACGGGCTTTGGCACAATTGGAACCGGCTTTGGGATGGGAAAAATTCCGATCGCGTTCGCAAGTGCTACGTACAGTACAAGAGTGCATAAAAGCATCTGCAAGGACCAGGAGAATGGGAAAATCATGTTGAAGAGCGAGAAGTGACAAAGAAGTTTTGCGGTAGTCCTGGCAAGAAGGTTATATAGATTGGCCACGCCATCGATGATAGGTTGTGTCGTTCCGCCTCACGGGCTGTGTGCAATGTTCGGCGGCCTGAGTCTAACGAAATTGGTTGCTATTGACGCTGATTGGTCGAGATCCAATTTTGGCCCCCAGACCATTGTTCGTGCGCTCAGCCACACAAGGCTGCCTTAGCATAAGATTATAAGCGAGACTACTTGCTGGGCACCCAGCGCCGTCCAGACCACTATAAACAAATCAACGACAGGGGTCCGCGTTTTGCCTAAGATCTGAATAGGAATGCGCTGTTGCTGAAGGTTCAAACATGGCCCCAGCCAGGGCTCATTGACAGAGCGTGAAGCCTGTGCACGGCCGCGAACCATCATACAGCCAGGATAAAAGGTTGATGCACGCCTCCCCCGAATGACACGAAAATTCTCGCGGCAATGGGTATCGTGTATCGACCCTTGAAGCAAAAGCGTGAGGAGATCAGGTTGTTGGATGTGGAACCAGCAAACCAACTTGATGACCCTCTCCGCGCAATACTCCGCCATGCTGAACTACAGGACGCGCACTTCTCCGCTCTCTCGTACGTCTGGGGAGATACAGTCAATGATCGATCCAACATCGCGATTAGGTACGAAAGAAGCGCTCGCGAGTACCTCGCTTCCAAGTTACGCGGCAAGTCGGCTGCACCAACGTACGTTCATAGCATTGGCAGCAACCTGGCCAGGGCCCTCAGACACCTGCGACAGAAGTATGGGAGACTTACCATCTGGACAGATGCTCTCTGCATCAACCAAGGCGACGGTAAAGAGAAAGACTGGCAGGTCCCCCTCATGAAGGCTATCTATTCCCAGGCTCAAGAGGTGCACGCATGGCTGGGTCCTCTGCACAATGAGGATGTAGCCGCCATTCGTAACATGAAAGCTGCTATTGAATTGGCGAACGCAGTTTGGACTTTAGCAGCGCAAATCATAGATTCAATAAGTCTTCTATCGGAGGAAGACTGGCTTGAAGCTTGCTTCACAGTGGCCGATGCGCATCAATCATATGATCAAACGCACCGCAAATGGGCCGATTTCGCGATAGCTCTACGTCGCGCCGCAACGTCCGACCACTCGATACAGAATGAGCTAGCGTGCGTCAGAACACTCTCGCAGAACACTTACTTCGCCAGAATGTGGATCTTGCAAGAGACTGGCCGGGCACGGAGATTAACCTTCCATTTCGGTCTGAAAGACATGCCCCATCGACCTGTTCTGCTGGCTCTGAGTCTAGCGAACTCTCTGCGAGAGCCCAAAGGCTCCCCTGAAACTGGAAATAAATCTTCTCGCTTTGATACTCGTTTCTTGGGCTGCTTATCAGCTCGCACCACATGCATGCAGAAACGGTCTCTCCGAGATGTACTGGCCTCAGCATATTTTAGTCCACCTCCACTCCAGGAAGCATCTGATCCGAAAGATCTCATCTATGCGCGTCTAGGCCTGGCCGAGAATCCACACGGAATCACTGTCGAATACGGGCTGAGCGTTGCCGAAGTGTACACCGCTGCCTCTCGTTTCCTACTTTCCGAGGGCTTCCTGGAGATTCTGGTCACGTTCAGACCGTATAGATTTCAGAGAGGAATAATTGATGAGAGCTTTCCGTCGTGGGCATACGATTGGTCCAAGAAAGCTTTCAATTCCTTCGACAAATACACTGCGTCCCGGGACACGTCTCAAAAGGTTTCCATTGCGTCCTATCGCGACGCCAGATTCAAGCACGTGCTTACCATGACCGGCATTAACATTGGAACCGTCCAAGTTGCGAACAAGATGTTCTCTGCTACTGTGCTCGCTGCAGGGTTACACAAAGGAACTGTCGGTGAAGGCAGCATTCGTGCTGTGTCCGAAGAACTTTCACCGGAAAAGAAGGATACCCTGGTGCGCAACATAACCAGTGCATACCGGCAACTTGGTATTATTGTTGCAGATGCAGATATCGAAACGCTTCTCAGCTATCGCACGCTGCCATTCGCGTCGTTCTGGTGTTGGTGGGTACATTGGATCGCATCCCTGGTCAACTTGATGAACGACACGGAGGCCCAGCAACCTGACAAGAGGCTACCAGGCATCAACGTTGCGGAGTTGCTCTTTCGTGAAGATCCTGGAGTGCTAAACCGCACGGAGAACATGATGCATTTCGGAACCAAGACAGGTATCCTGGCTCTAATCGATTATCAGCGTTGGGTGATACTCCTCGGCATAGAGTCAGAGCGCAGTGGCATCGAAGAAAGTATGGCCATACAATTTGCCGAGTCGCTGTTTCGCTCTGCTTGGGGAATGCGACCCGCTTCCTTGAACAGTAGACGCTTGGGCTACGTCCCCGAAGACACCAGAGCACAAGATGAGGTGGTTATCTTTCACGGGGTCAAGGCACCCCTGGTAATACGGAAGACCACCCCAGATGCGTACAGAATAATTGGGCCAGCACACATTTGTGGAGCGATGCAAGGGGAGCTCATGGACGCGACACTGTCTGGGACTACATACAAATTGATCTAAATGACCTCGAGGAATCCTCGAGAGTAAGTTTAACGTTCTTGCAAAGTGAATCAGGGCACTGATTTTGGCTCCTGATGAACTCGAATGAACAAGTGTTCGATCATCACTACCAACATATGTGGCATAGCTCCATGCACCTCCGATGCATAGATAACTAGATATGAGGGTCAATGCAAGGAGCAGATGAGCGTTAACTTATGACGAAAAAGACGTAGAGCCACGATCTTCACGAGAACTAAAGCAATCGTAATGCCAGAATGAACATGGTCGAGACTAGGAAGCTTCATACAACGGGTCGAGCTTTTGCGAAGCAGGGGGTCTTCACTGAAAGATAGGTGAAGGCTATCCGTGCGCCTACACTGTTTGCCAAGAATTTCATGCACGCAGCGAAAACTAAGACAACAAGAGATCATTGTAGGTTGATGGTTCATCCGAGGCAGAGCCTCGTCAACCAGTAGCAGTCTCACCCTGGGTAGCTACATCAACAATATAGAGAAACCAAATGAAGTTCATATAGCAGATATGTTGCTATATATATGAATCTTTAAAGAGCGTAGTAACGAGTGTGTAGAACGCCAAATTCCCAAGCATACACGTGATTATAAGAAAAGGTACAAGAATTTTCTCTCAAAGTCACTATCAAGACATTCCGATACCACATTGCTGTTGAGTCAATCACGTTCGCTCCAAAATCTGGTCGGACCGGAGCAGGGTCCGAGATTGGGATGAAGACAACCTTGTCGCTGCGATTCGCTGCACGACGACAACAACGTTTCTCATAATGCTCAACGCGCTTATGCCGTGTTCCGCTGAATGTTCAACACGTGTTACGGGCATTGATTCGGTCAAATTGGAGACTAAAGTTTGGGCTGAAACTTCCTGGATCGCTCAAGTCACAGGTAATTATCACTGACTTGTCTTTGGCAAGACATGTATGGAATTGACGCGAGAGGAGCACAACATGGAAGTTATGAGCTCAGCTTTTCTTTTGCACGGAAATTCTGATAGGGATGAAGTGGCGCAGATAGCATGAATACAATGGAAGTGAGCACTGCAATGGTCTTACATCCTTCCTTTGGACCACTCACACTTCCAATACCACCTCCAACATACATGAACATGAACCCCCTCAACTATACCAAATGGAGTTATGACGGCATCCACCGCCAACCAAGGCTTGTGCGTGAGAAGTGGATGTTTGTGGGCGATTATAAGATGTCCACTTGTTCTGTTTACTGTGATCCTGAGCATATCGAGAGTACTCTGGTACTGGAAGCAGTTCGATTGCAATACGAACTGGTCACTAGTTGCGCTTTGCGGCAAGAGTTGAAATCGTATTGTTCGTTCTACGCGGAAGGGAAACTCGCTGTTCGGCAGTTCGTCTAGGCGATTCATTTCGACGTCGACATTGTCGCCCCCTATTCCATCAAAGCACATGTTTTCAGAACTCACGCAGCCGTAACCTGTCCAATCACCACCAACATAGAATGTAGGTTCTGTCATCGAAGAGAGGTGATACGTGCTGAAAGATTCAAGTCCCTGCACAGTGAAAGGCACAGGTGGCTGTAGGGTACGAACAGGAAGGTAATTGATTTCCGGTGGTTGCATGAGCCCGATAATGCTTCGGCTACACGTGGAATTGTTCGCGAGCGCCCAGCATAGTTCCTGATAGAAAAATCCGATCGCCCGGTTAGCCAAAGCATGGAGCATTGCTATGTGCTGCGCGGTGTTCCTAGCCTGGATGATGTGGCCGAGATGATTGGTGAGGCGGAGCCACTGGACAGACCGCAATTGCCGAGGAGGTCTATCAGTCTCGGAAGTGATGGTGTTGGCCAGCGACCGGGCGGAGAGACAAAAGCCAGTAGCTTGTACAAGATGCCAAGTGCGAAGGTCCCATGGAAGATTTTCGCTAGTAGATAAGGGAGACTCGATCTGCTCCGGTGTACCAGCATTGTTATCCGATTCTATCGGGACCTTGCAAATGCGATCGCAAAGTTAACTTAGGAGGGAAGCACCTCTACTAAATGCTCCGGGTGCTGTCGGCAGGAGGAAATGTCTTAGCAGGCGATAGGTTTTTGCGTAGGTATGTGTATAGCTTACAATGCACTGCCACCATTTGCGGTAGCCATTCCTCTACATCCTTGTAGTCCAGGGTTTTTTCGTGACCAGCCAAAGCGTCGGCTAACACGTATCGTTTCCATATGTCCTGCTTTGGAACATTCCAGGAGATAGCGACATGGAGATCTCCCAGTACATGTTGTGTCGCTGCTAGATCCCGCCATGCAGTCCAGTCATCACATGTAGCGTAAATGTAACGGCTGGTACGTATGAATGCGAATGCTGCACTGGAGGGCAGATGTGCGAAAATCTTGCGTAGTAGCTCGACTGGTAATCGACCTAGCGTAGTATCAGCCATTGGGTAGGTAAATAACATACGATAGCACGAGTGACAGTCAAGAGGGCGAGTAAAGTGGGCAACAGGTCGTAAAGAGACGTATAGCCTTGATTTTAAGGAATGGGTTCGGACTTTTTCTATCGTCGGTGCTGTGCGGCAACGCGTTCTGTGCCGCAAAGTATTTTAGGATACTAGAGTACATCGTCGGTTAATCTAAAGTCTACTGCTTTACGATTGGCTTCGCTAACTCGCATACCGAAATTTGGCCCCCAGCGCTCCATGGAAGCGCCCCAACCGTCAATGCTATGCATCGCAGCATAATCTAAATTTACCCAGCGAAGGTAGCGATGTCACTGACGACTGTGCTAGTCGCTTAGCAGTGTTTCCACGCTCTAAGCACCCTTCGAGTTTGTGGTTTCCGTTGAATCCATGCTCTCGCTCCTCCGTAAGGATCGTGCACGAACCGCTCGTTACAAACTAATAAACCACTTGCTCAACATGCAAGAGCTTGAACGCTGTGGTGATCCTGAATTGCTAACCTTAAATCGATGTCGCTTCATCAAGCGAATGTAGATGAAACGAGCCGGGGTACACAGTGGTATCATAAGCTTTGTTTTGCTTAAAGTACCCGAGAAGACCCTCACAAATGGTTCTGTAGTGGCCAAGACACCTTCACCTACCATGAAGCGTTAGAACAAGCCATATTTGTATAAATGAACCACTGGCCCAAATCTTAATGACGATTCCAGCCCTGATATGTATCGATGATTGAAGATGCACTTGAACTAGTTATCATCTGATCCCACAGCGCAACATCGTGAGAGACGTGGTTATTCAAGCTAACGCATGTGACTTCATGGGTTCCAAGGTTTGACGTTCAGCGTTATCGAAGCAAATTTGCTGCAGTCCGACGAGGCGTAGACTTCGTGGGTGGGCCGCCCTATGACGGAAATAATACCAAAAGGGCCCCTAGCATCTTGCAAGGCATATTGATGTGGGTGGAAGTGAGAAATAGTTGGAGGATGTTGACATTTTGACCGGACTTAAAGGCAATGCATAATGGGCGAGAGCGACAGAGCATTACTATACACAGACACAGATGAATGAGGCGGAAGATCGAATCGGAAATCATTACGTGGTATTCTGGCGAATCGTTTGTAACGGATCCCTCGCGAACATTACATCTAGCCGCAAAGCTATAGAACCGAGGAGGAAACCCAAAATTACTAAGGCCTACCGTTAAGTCCTGATGTATCCAAGATCTTACATCGTCAGATCGAACTGCTGTTTTCGAATGCATAAGTAGACCAATTACTTCACACCGTCGTTCTCCTACCTGTAACCAACAAGATTGCTGTCACGATGAGGGTCAAACCACCAGCCGCAACGATGAGAATATAAATCTTAGCCATGCTATGCAAAATGGTATGCACGACTTGTTCTTTTGTTCGCTGGTCCAGATCGAGGATATAGTCCTTTCCAACACCCGAGACAATGCTCAGAAGAGGTGCGTCAGGAGGCAGGATAGAAGCCAATGCGACCTTTGCTCGGTTGAGGAAAACAGCATTCGCGATGCTCAAAGTGATTGCTGGGGCCGCAAGCTGTGCCCATGTGATAAGGCCAACTGCAGCAGGTATCTCTGCTGAGCTCACAAATTCTTGTGCAGCATTGAAAGGCATCTGGATGTAAGCGCCGGTGCCGGTTCCAATCAGGATGCTGTATCCATATATCTTTGCGGTAGACGTATGCTCATCGACCGTAAACATGAGCGCTCCTCCAGCTAAGACAAGGGCACCACCATAGAAGAACCATGGCATCCAGTGACCATTAGAGCTGACAATAGTCCCGCAGACCATGACGGTGGAAACCATGAAGACAATGAACGGGAGGAGGTGGACACCGGCCATGAGAGCAGACTCATCACGGACGTACTGGAAGCTATGAAGCTGTCAGTCTAATGTTCAGATATCGCTGGATTTGGACTGGCTTACTACAAAGGGATGAAGTAGCATGGAAGGAAGCAAGCCGTGGCCGAGCAAGTTTCGTTGAAGAAGATAATCAAAACGTTCCAATTTCTCATCATCGCTAGCGGAAACATTTGCTGTCGTGTCGAAAACTTCGTGACCTGCTGTGCCACGAAAGCAAGGAGCAACACTCCAAAGACTACAAAAAGTGCGATGATTTGGGGGGAATTCCATGTGTATGTGAGCCCACCGAAGTTCATGCCCAGGATGAGCGCAGTTGTGGTGCCGGCAAGCAGAGCGAAGCCAGTAAAATCGATATTTTGCAACCGAGCGGAGGCAGTAGCACCGGGTCGAGGATTCTTGGATGGAATGAGGACCAAGTAGATAGGCGCAAACAAGGCGCCGATGAAAAGATTGATGTAGAAGCCGAATCTCCATGTTGCGCGAGACTGGACGAAGGCGCCGCCAATGACTGGACCGAGCACAGTACCTACACCCCAAGTGATGCCGGGAATGCTCATATAAAGAGCCCGTTCTTGCTCGGTTGTGAGTAGCGAAAGCAGTGTGAGCACACCAGTATACATGCCACTACCACCAATGCCACAGATTGTGCGTCCAGCGATGAGTGATGCAATGTTGGGTGCGGCTCCACAGAGCGCTGATCCGGCTTGGAAAATGATAATGCAGGTGATGAAAACCCATTTGGCATCGAATTGGCTGTAGACTTGGCCCCTAGTTTCAAAATTTTAGTACGCCAACTCTGTGAAGTGATATGGGTGTACTGGCGAACCATGATAATACAGTAGCTGCAGCCCCCAAGAAGAATGCCACCGAGTTGTATGATAGCTTCTCAATGGACTGAAACTCGCGAACAAAAGTGGCTTGCATATCGGCGACGATGGTTCCATCCAAGCCCCAAAGGAATGTGACGGAGATCAAACTCAGTACCACCAGGATCCATTTCAACCCGTGAACGTTACGTGGAGGGACGTTAGGCGGCTGTTCGTTCTTCTCAATAGCATCTGGACGATGAGAGTGATTTAGACTATTTACTTCGATTTTGTCTGACATGGATAAAGTTTGTCGTGCCGAGTTGGATCGTGATAGAAGAAAAGGTGGATATGGGAGTAGCCACCACACAGCGCTATCAGGTACAAGTAGTAGAGCTTGGGAGAGGCAAATCTTCGAAGGCTTGCTTTTCCTCAAGATCTTCACGGAATCCGGAAGCTCACACTCAATTGCATGAGCTTTCATACATTGCAGGTGCAAAGCTTGGCGACGGCAGATGAGTCAGTGCGCTTGCTTTGTCACCAACGGCAAGACCCCTGAGCGCGTTCAGCAGGAGTGAATCGGATCATCCCGTTCAGCCGTTGCAGATCTTAGAGGGACCCTGAATCTTCGCCGCACGGCAGTTGTTGACAGGGGGGATGGCCCATCTTTCCCACTTTGAGACCAGAAGTCGTTGCCATTTCAGGGCACAATTCCCGACGGACAGATGCCGGCCTTTTGATATCGGCGGACCCCTCCGGTGAGACTCGATTGGCCAAAATATGATGTCCTTTCTTACGCGATCCTAATATTCCACCCTTCAAATCAAATGCTTAACCCACGTTGCTTTGCTGCCCGACATGCTAGCCTGCAATAAATGTCATGACACAGTCTGGGGTCCGGATTGTCATTGCATGCATAATACTTTGGGAGATGTGGGTCCGGTAACCCTCCTTCCTTATCGAGAGCTCGGCCCGTAGGTAGCCACGCCTACCGACGATATCCTACGTGCGCCCAAGAGAAAATGACAGATACCAAGGCGGATGTAGTTCGATCTGTAGAATAAATGTATTAGGTGTAACATGGCCTATGAGATCGGGGTTTTACAAGCGTATCGGTTCATATGTAAAACGTCATCAAAGGTGCGTGAGGAAAAGTTGAGGTTCCGCCCCCAGAAAAAGACTAAACAGTAGGAAAACGGGACAAGGGCTGTAGGGTCCGCCTCTCTATTGGCCTGTCACCGGGTAGGTGACGTCACTCCCCAAGTTGCCATGGGTACCGGTGATACGGCAAAGCAGAATAGCGAATTGAAACACATAAGCATCTACATAGTTTAGCGCATGCTATGCCGCTTCGAACACTTCTTCGATGTATCTTTCTCCCAGAGCATCGCGAACATTCCTACCGATTAGAGCGCTCAAGTTTGACGAAAACCCTTTGGCAGCTTGCGGCGACGCACACACAAAGACATAGCATGATTCATCCCTGATCTTAGCCGAGATGATGTTTCGAAACTTAATGTCGAATACCTTGTCTTGGGCACGCGATTTTTCTGGATTGCTGGGCGTCAATGATAAGATGTCGACCATGTTGGAGCGGATCGCATTATGGAGAGCGTCCGAGACCATGTGGGCGTCCTCGGATCGGAATCCTACGAAAAGGCTAGTCGTAGATGGCTTCAGAATGGGCTCTTCCTGTGATGTAGCATGGTTGAGTGACTGACGGAACCGTTGCTGTAGTATATACTTGACAGAAGATATTCCAGATCCAGTTGCGAAAGCAATTATTGGCTTCGAATAGTCTTCGATCATAGAGAGCGATGAGGTTCCGGCGAATCGAATTCGCAGAGATGTTCCCGTAGTTGCCGTGGACAAGAATTCAGAGCTGAATCTACCGTTTCTCTGGCATTTGACAAGGAACTCAAGAAATTCACCCGTCTTGTCGAATTTCGAGGACGCAATCGAGAAGTGGCGGGGTCTACTGAGTGGTAAAGCTCCGCACAATGCCGTAGGATCGATTTTGCATTGCCAGCGTCCGTGGAAGAGCTCGCTTGTCTTGAGTATCGGCCAGCTCAACAATGCCTTTTCATCTTGATAGTTAAGCTTGTCTGCCTTAGACCAACGAGTATGTGTGAACGGCCTTTTTAGATCGACGAAATGGGTCATTACTTCCTGCGTAGTTAGTGGAGATGACCCTGGGCCTACAACCTCTCTTCCTGACAGCCCAAAGGCTTTAAGAACTTTCTTAACGTCTGTACACCGATTTGGGACGAGCATTTCAGCATGAACGAAGTCTCCGCGCTTGGCCTTTTCAACATTCAAAACAAGGCGACGGATATTCGATGACAGCAGTGTACATGATGTAATGGTCGCTGGCGTAGACGTGTTGAAAGGGTAGCTGGCAATTCTACCTGAAGGTGATTGGTAGTGCCCGGTGGGCTCTTGAGTAGAAGATCCGCCAAGCTGAATAGAAACATCCTGTAGCCATTGCTCTAGCTGGGCCCAAGGAGGATCTTCTATCGCAGTGTCTCCGTGGAAGTAGTTTGGTAGGAGGAACTTTGCTTTTCCTTGTGTGAGTAGCGTTTGTATCCTTTTTGCAGCCCCATTATAGGAGTTTGAGTATGTAGAATTCCCGTTTCCAAAAATAGCCCATTCAGTTCCAAAGTGCGCTTGGCTTCCGATTGTGAGAGCAAATTCCTGACCATTCGCAGGTACCTCCCCATGTCCAGAGGAGCTAGCAATGACTAGAATTATGTTGGCGCTCTCAAGACTCCGTATGGACAGAGAGTTGAGTGGTTCTGCTGGTGCGACGATATACCGCCGAGATCCCTCTAGTAAACGTCCGAGACGGCTTTCAGTCCTACGTGCAAGCTTTCTCGCTGTCGTCCCAGCACTGCAGTAATGGATGCGTATTTCTCGGACGTTTTCTTGTGGAGGAATAGGATCGAGTGTAGAGTGTGGACATAATGTCTGTTTCAAATCTTCTTCGGAGAAGACTCTCCGTTTCCAGGATCTGATTGGATCCTGTACGTGGCGAGCAATTACAGGTTTTGGTTGGTAGTTTGGTGACCCGCCTCGATGCCATATTGGAATGATCGAGCCTTGCGGAGGAGCAAGCCAGTATGGGTCCGCTGGTAGCCGGAATCCATACTTACGCAAGTGCTCATCGTCGAAATTGCAATACATGGCGGATGCAGTTAGGGTATCTGACATTCTAATATTTGCCTGCTGGAAAGAATGATATACAGCGTAGTTTAGCTCCGACTGCGCGTTCGACTAGACCTTGGGTCAGTCATGGGAAACAAATGTTTCTTGCCGGGCTGTTCTTACTAAGAGACGAAGCTTTTCTGCTTCGTGAAGTTCCTCAATCTTTTCGATTGAATCTATCCAGCCCAGAGATTCAACGACTTGGGGCAGAATATTGTATCGTTCTCGGTCTGCAAGATCACGAACACCGATTTCAGCGTCCATAAACCACCCTATAAATGGACTTGCTGTATATTGGACACCTCCAATATCAAAACCTACCCGGCTGAGAGCTGGAGCAGGAACCCATCGAAGGGCCAATTTGTCGAAAGCAAGCCCGTGATTCGGATGGGTGATATCAACGAGTGGGAAAAGATCTTTGGGTATTTCAGTAATGATAGGATATTCTCCTTCGGCCATGGTTACAAGCGGAAGGAGGTCCCACTTGGTCCTCAATGAGGGCGGTGTCCACCCTAGTTGTATAATGGCTTTTGTGAGTTCAACATTCATGGGATCACCTAAAACTGTGCCGTTTTTCTGCTCATACTGTTTACGTTAGATCGGATAGGACTTGAAGATGGATGTCTTACACCTGCAAAGGAAAGCAACTGGGAATTCCATATCATAGGCCCAGATCTCCCAATATCTCTGGGTGGAAAAACGAAGACTACCTGAATCAGCAAAAGGAATGACCACATTCTGGCTGATAACTAACCAGTAGGTAGGATGTCTCCTTTGTTGAATGACTTTTGCAGCGCTTCAAGGATTGCGCTACCCATTCCAGTGCTTGTGGAAACATGGCGCAAGTCGCAGAGTCTCTTCAGGTCAGAATAGGTAGACCAAACTGGCCTGTAAACGTACCTGAGATCTTCATACTGAGACCGCATGATACAGCGTCGAGAATGTTTCCAAGCTAATCGAAGCCCATGTTCAAGTTCGTCTCGAGTTTGTGTCCATGGTCCTCCAACACGGCAGGTCTTCCGACTTTGTCCTGGAAGCTTAACGGAGGCTTCAGTCGAGTTCATGTCTATCTCTCTCAACACCTCTACCATTCTTCTCTGCAGCGCTCCATCAGATGGTATGACTCTATCTCGACGTAATTGGCTCAAGAAATCAATGGCTTCTTCTCGCACATCGAAAATCGATCTATTCCGCCCTACGCGAGGCTCCGTCGAGCGGATCATACGACCCCCCTCGCAGAATTGTGCCGTACATCCCGTGGATTGTAAGACGGGATACCGAGCTGCAATAGCTGCTGCTTCTTTGACTGCTGAATTTCGTTCATACCGCATGTTGTACATGACAGCCCGCCGTATGCTTCGGCTTATTGTTCTGTAAAGTATATAGCGACACTTGTGATAGATGTTATCCAAGTATCCTATGGCCCGTGTTCTCACGCTCGCTGACAAGAAGATAATCGGAGTTCCCGAAAAACACCATAACTTGACTCGACTTTCCTGGACTCGGTCATACTCGGTGGTGGCGCACGAGCTTCCCGGAAACGCGCATCTCAATTATCTCTAATGGGGAACACGATCGAGCCGCTTGTAGCCCAACATCGGCCCTTCTCTACGAATGAATCTGCCTACGTCCCTTAACGCCTTCCTCCGCACCCTAGTCCGTGTTCGTGGAGGTCGCCGGTGGTGGGCCGATGGCACCAAAGCAGGTTTTCTTGGGAGCCTTTACAGTTCCCCGTACGAGCTCTAACGACTAGCTTCGGACCAAGGCGGAAGGATTGAAGGGTCTGCAAGGATGAGATCTATATGACTGTTGGCCACTGCCAAAGACCCGCACCGAGCCTTCGAACCGGGGACGGACTGTAGCCGCTGACCCGAAACGCATAGTGACCCACAAGGGGTCTGGGAAGAATGCAGGCGATTCATGCGGCCGATTGATGGTTCCCAGTTCGTGCGTCACGTTGTACAGTGATTAGATCAAGTTTCTTTGATGTACGTAGCACACAGAACTGTTGTGGGACATAGTTGCAACCAACAGTCCAACTTCTTATAACGTACATGATAGGCGAGGCGCCAGGACAAGAGAGTCATCAACCCATCCAACACCTCTAGTGCATGGCACCTGTAACAATTTCAATGTCTCTATCAAAAAGCCTCAATCAGTGCATAATAAGACCTCAATAATGCATGCTCCCTCCACTGCTCCAAGATGCTCAATCAAAAATCCCACCATGTTCGGGAGTCTCAAAGTCAACGTGCGGGCGCTTCCCAACCCAGTCGGGAATTTCAGGCCAAGCATCGTCGCCTTCGTAAAGAGGCACTTGCATGCCGAGAACGAAGTAACGCACGCGAAAAACGTGGAACATAGTCATGGCTGGCTGCGTTATTTTCCATCGTACTGCCATCCATCCACTTGCCGGCAGTTCATGGAGGTATCCAAGAGGGGGATTCTCCAAATTAATAGCCTTTGGATTCTGCTCTTTTGCTTCGGCAACGTCTTTCCACTTGAACTTGGTGTCTCCTTTCCCCAGGAAAAAGGTGGGGTCATTGTGCTTGTACATCGGTAATGGGACCGGGAGGTCATTTTCGACAATGATATCAACGACACTTCCCAGGGGAAGATTGTTGACGGTTGGATTGGGCCGGTCGAATTGTTCATTCGGATCAAGAATGAGTGGATCCTGAAGGGCTCGAAAGATCTGCCAGGAAACTCCATTCAGAGAACAATTGGTGATGTGAGGGTTGTAAGGATCTGGTGCACCCGTAGCTTTGAATCGTAGTGTGATGTCTGCCTTGCGATGGGGCGGTTGCTCTGGATATGGGTGCGCGACCATCTTATCCTCAAGAATCGCGTCAGCCTTAGGAGTGCCGTCTAGCAGCATGGAAGAGAGATCCTGATCGGGTCGCGGCATTGGAGCGCCCAAAGTTTGGCCAGTTCTTCGATGAGGATAGCGCAAGATAGCATACCCTTGAAGAGATTGGAGATCGCTCAGAGCATGGAAACGAATGGCATAGTCTTTGGGATTCTGGTTCAGTTTTACCATAACGGTAACACGCTCCGCATTCATGACTGTGAGGACCTACCGTACCAATAAGTTTTGTGTGTTACAAGAACCAATGAGACAGCTTACATTGACCTTTTGAGGCTTGATGAAGCCTCCATCATTGGCTACAATCCACATGTCGTGATTGTCAATGGAGACTCTCCAGAAATGCTCTAATCCGGGGTTAACAAAATTCATCATGATCCATCTTCGGTTGTTGGTCGTGATTATCTGCTGGATTTAGTCAAAAGTCTGCATAAGCAGGGCACTGCCGCTTACTTCGTAGTCCGCATCTGAGGGTATGCACTCGCCATAACCAACAGCGCCTGAAGGTTGTTCGACGCATCCATGGGAATTGACCTTACTTCCCTTGATCTCCACTAAGTCTTCAGGCTTACAGTGAACCCGGCCCTTTCCTGTACATAAGCTTAGCAGATACTCTAGGCATACTTCCGTCTCTTTTTGGCCTCACCATTGATAAGAACAGACTGGAAGCAATAAGGATCGTAACCCTCAGCCTGCAGCTGATAGAGCAACCCCGGCATTTCTCGGTGCTGGTAGTTGTACATTACAACATGCTCGGGTGCTTCTTCAGCATCGGTCATCTGTTGGATATCGTATTCGTCATTTGACACAAGATGATAAGGTCGCTTCCTTTCAGCACTGGGGCGAATCCAAATCGTCCCGTAATTCCCATCGACGGAAGGCGTAGATGTGTGATCGAGATACCACTTCAAGCCCCATTGATCTGTAGTATTGAGGACTGCTGTGAAGTTTGCACGCGCAAGAATGGGGATACTAGTGACTCCCGAACTTCCATCATTCCACACCATGCTGTTACTGTGGTGCATTCCAACCCTATGAGTATGAGCGTGTTGTCGCTAGGAATAGATAGAAGGCATATACCAGTGCAAAGACAGCGGAAGACCCAGGTCATTATGAATATGAATACGAAGCATGTCGCCCTCATTGACGTCAATTGTCGGAAATGGCGTTTCGGAATTTCCAACAAATATAGGGCGCCAGTGACCTCCATCTGTGCTAAAGTCAGGTCAAGTTTCGAAGTCATCGCGCATCTAGTATTCCTTACCTGGGTTGCGCCAAGCCTGGCTGACGGTCAGATTGTACTCCACTGTTGTGGGAACCCTCCTTCCCGACTCCTTTGTGAAGTTGGTGTAGTCAGTGATGTCGTAGATTGGGGATGGAAGCTTTCCAAACCACGCTCGAGCGAAGTGTGCAGAAATCCAAAGTAAGAGCCCAATAGGTACTAGAACTATTGACTTTGGGTATGACCATTTGTATCTGCATCCCATCGTATCACTGTCGAAGCTGACAGACTCTGGTTTTTGGCCCATGGTTGGAGGTAAAGACTTCATTTAGGATCTTTCGATGTCTGGCAACGCGAAGCAAAGCTGCGGATTGAGTTCACCTCACTATGTGCGGGAAGTCTTGCCGTAGTCAGATGAGAGAACAGGGTGGTATCAGAAGTTACTGTATCCCATCTGCAAGGACTCAATGCGATACTTCCTAATAGTAATCATTTGATCTGGCTAACCGACCGCATGATTCTGAAGCTTTACGACGGCACCACAAAGCAGCCAATGGTGCGTAGCGGAACCACCATCCAGGACCTCAGAATGCACGGTGACAATTTCAGGGGGCGGCTCGCACTGTGGTATGCGCGCTGATCAAACGGTCCGAGGATCAGCCGTTAGACCAGCCGTTTAGACCGTCCGTGCATCCTGTAGATCAAGTTGACCCACAACAGACACATGACAAATACAGATCATTTCCTATGAAACAAGAAATTGAATCTCCCAATTTGGCACGGAGGCCTACAAATAAAGGGATTGCTTGTAGTAGCGCCATTTGAAGTTTGGCGGGAATCGTCCCGGTGTTGTTTCTTTGGCCCGATCGCCTAGACGCTGCCCAGGGGTTATACGCACATGTTTACAGGCCTAGAGATCGTGAAAGTCATGTCGACCCGCCAAGGTCGAGTTTCAATATTAAGAGCAAGAACTACGAGGCCAATCGGCCCGAAATACTCACTCCTATTGAGGATCACCACCCAGTTTCATGACTTCTTCCCGCTCTATCTATTCGGCACTTCTGCTGTGATATCATTCGGTGCTCTTCCAGATCAATTCAAGAATCCGAAGAGCAGGTAGGTAGACTCACGAATTCCTCGGCAAGACTCTGATTCCTCGTCGTCGCATCATGGTGTTCAAGTACGCTTTCCTGCTCATCCCGTTGCTTCAGTCAGTGGCTGTAGGCGAGATTAGAGAATACAACCTGACCTTGGAACCCAAATGGCTTTCTCTAGGTAAGAGCCTGATCTTTGAGTCGGGCAGAGTTTGGAGTAATCATGTGATGCTATAGATGGGAATGCCCGCCCAGTACTCACTGTGAATGGTCAAACTCCAGGACCAGTTATCGAAGGAGAAGAGGGCGATACTCTACGAATCACAGTAACAAACAAGATGTTCATCGAGGCAACAATGCATTAGTGAGTTAATTCATTCTCTAAACCTGACATCTAAGTTCCTGACCATTTCCAGTCATGGAGTTTTCCAGGTCGACAAGTACTGGAACGACGGCGTGAGAAGCGCTATCAGTCCACATAGTGAGCGTATGTTGATACAATCAGGTTCCTGGTGTCACACAATGGCCAATCGAGCCGAGGAACAGTTACACGTACGAATTCACACTCACCAACCAGACTGGAATTTACTTCTATCACGGCCATTTCGGACCTGCTTTCGCTGACGTGAGTATATCATCTTCGGAAATAAGAACCAGTAACTGAATCAGGCTTCATAATAGGGCCAGCGAGGTCCACTTTGGATTCGTCCCAAGGCTTCACGACCACGACCGTACAGCTTGATATCATCAAAAGACTCAGATATCAAAGCAATGCTTGACGCTGAATCCCAGCCCCACCACCTAATGGTGAGTGACTGGAATTACGACGGAATGGAAATCCTCACAGTCATGTTCCGCGACGCGGGAGTCACACCGGACTGTGCAGCTTCGCTTGTCACTAACGGCAAAGGACGCATAACGTGCCTAGATCCAGAGGTCATCAAGCAGTATAGCAAACACGGTCCGCGCAACGATATGGGCTGCCTCGTTCCCAGGCATGGTGCTGAATTTACGAATAAGAGGACTTGCAAAGAATCCAACACAGACTTCGAGGTCGTCCAAGCCAAAGACGGCCAGGAATACCTCTTCCTAAACTTCATCCACCCAGGCGCTCACCACGAGCTGCGTATCTCCATCGATGAGCACGACATGTGGCTCGTGGCCGCAGACGGCGATTTCGTCAAGCCGAAGAAAGTCCAAGCCTTCAATCTCAATATGGGCGACCGCATCAGCGTGCTCGTCCCGCTCGACAAGAAGGTAGGGGACTATGCCATTCGTCTGGCGTCCTTGTCCACAGAACAAGTCATCCAAGGTCTCAGCATCTTACGCTATCCCAACCAACCTGATGCTCGAGATAAACATGGCGTCATGCTCGCACCCACCAGCACATCTCACATCAATCTCGTTGGCGACATGATTTCGAACAGTATCGCAATGGACGAGCTGACCGACCTGTCGCCGTTTCCGGCCCGCCAGCCGCCAGCCACGTCAGACACGACGCTACGATTCATGGCAAACCAGACGAGCCCAAGTACGTGGGTGCTAGCGTCCGAGCCGCATCAGGGGTTCCGGCAGCAGATGCCGCCGATTCTCTGGAATGAAGAGTCGAGGGGCCCAACGACGTTCTCTGGGCTGAAAAATGGGTCTGTTGTGGACATCATATATGAGAATGGGGCTTACGCTATGCATCCATTCCATAAGGTAAGCTCTCCTTCTATCTATGAGTGAGCAATTCTCATGCACGCAGCACAACCACAAGGCGTTCATCATCGGGCGCGGCGAAGGCTACTTCATATGGCCAGATGTTGCCACCGCGTTAAAGAAGGCGCCGGAGAACTTCAACATGATTGATCCACCTCTACGTGATGGAGCGCGGTTATCTGCTGGTCCCGGATCGTGGACCGTGATTCGGTATACTATCACGTTCCCAGCCATGAGCATGCTGCACTGCCATCGTATTGCGCATTTTGCGGTAAGTGACTCTTAAAAATGGAGAATCTAAGAGCTACCTGCTGATATTCTCGTCAGGGTGGTCAACAGATCGTGCTTGTCGAGGGCGGTGACACCATGCCTCCTGCGCCGGATTATATCAAGCATTTGACGCATTCGGAATTTGTGCCTCCGTTGCGATATGGACCGTTGGATTAGAGCTGTAGGTAGTCGGATGGTGCTGTTGAAAAGTGTTGAATGGTTCTGAGTCGACAAGATAATAATTTCTATCATCGATTAAGCGGTTGTTCAATGCACAGAATACAATGAGAATGTGAACTATGCGGCTTTCGAGGTGTCTTTCATTCATTCTAATGTTTGTAATATGTTTCTGTAGTGAAATTCTTTTAACTTACTCTAACGGTGGGTAAGACCTGGTCGCTACTACTCTAGGCTTTATAAAGAGGTACAGTATGCAAAGTTCGTTTAGGTAATGGAGGTTCCTTGTTGGAGCTAGGTCCCAGTGTGCTAGAATTGGCTGTGAAGTATGCGGATAATGTGGGCAGCCAAGATGGTACTGGGTCTCGCCGTGTTGGAGGTCTACGGACAGGTCGTAAGTAAGGAACAATTCGCAGACAAAGACCCAAAAGTCATTTACAAATGGTTGGAAGAGAAAGACATGAGCCGTTAGAGGGACGTCCCTGTAGTTCCGCCATACCAATTACCTTCCTATCTTGATCATATGAGTACTCAACGTGATTCAGAAGTCAAGGTATGTGTGCGTTCTTATTATAGGGGACCTCAAAAATGACGTGAGTAACCTAAAAAACATAGAAAGACCACCATTAAGTATCCTTTAGTGTATGTGCTTAAGTAGCAGACTTTCAATTATTTGATGGTGTAGGCTACGAATTCCAGAAGTCGAAGATCCTCGCTCATACTCGCGGCATTAGCATTATCCGAAGCAAAGTACGATCACCGAGGTCTTACTACCACAGCGCCTTTCTCTAAGGGAGGAACGAGAATCACCATGTTTCTTCGGTCCAGGTATGATGCAGTGTATTTCCACCAAAGGACCCGCAGTCAAGTTATGTCAAATTTGCTAATAAGGTACTTTCTTTTTTTGCTTAATATATGCAATATGAGTTTGTGGTGCTGTAAGATTAATGGTATTGACTGACTGGAGAAAGAAGACGATACGGCTGTGACATGTAAGATACTTGACGACTGTATTTCACTTCTTGTGAAAAGAAGTGACTAGATGAAGCTAAGCAAACTTATTTAGGTACTATATACGTATGTAGCGAGAGGATGTTCCTGAAAACGGGCTTCAGAAACGTGACGTGAAGCGGATACAATTCGACTTTATCGTGCGCAATTGTTCCTTTACAAAGCAGCTTCTCTCTCTCGGGCCTCTGCCTGCCACTTCTTGCCTGGTTCGGCGTATCTGTCGAGATCTTCCTCGGGCAGATTGTTAAGCGTGATGTGGAGATGAGGACGTGGGACATTACGGCCGGCCTCGAAGCCAGGCCTCTGGAGCAGATTTTCGAACCATTTCACGATTTCAGTGTAACGAGCGATAGAGGTAATGCCAGAGAAGTCTGCGGATCCATGTTAGACTGATCGTGCTTCAAGTCATTGTTGACTTACTATGCCCCGCAACCCATGGCCAGATTGCGATATCCGCGGCAGTAACGCGGTCACCCACGATATAGCCGGTTCCGTTCTTGGCCAGCTGGCGATCCAGGGTACGATAGAGACGATGGCTCTCATTGACGTAACGGTCAATTGGATACTTGAGCTTCTCAGGGGCATAGCCTAGTTGGGAAAACCAATTAACTGATTACGTTTTATAAAAGATGCTCTTAGAGATTTGAACTTACGAGTGAAGTGGTTGGCCTGACCCTGGATGGGACCAATGCCTCCCATCTGCCACATAAGCTGCCGTTGAGTAAGTATAGGATCTCCAAAAATACGAGAGCGCTTTAGGCTGACGCAGTGCAAGACAGAATGGCAAGACGTACCCAGCTTATAACCTCCCAGTGCTCCTTCGTACCGTAAGGAAAAGAGATCTTGTTATCCTTATCGTAAGTGGCGATGAGATACAAGAGAATAGCACCACTTTCGAAGATCTTGATCTCGCGGCCGCTCGTGTCCTTATCAGTGAGGGCAGGGATGCGACCATTAGGATTGATTTCGAGGAACCAGGGTTCTTTCTGTTCGTGCGCACTGAAGTCAAGCGTTACGACCTCAATGGGATGTTGTTAGTAATGGGAATAAGCCGTTTAATCGTTTTCCCCATACCTTGTACTCGAGACCAAGCTCTTCCAAGACGATGGAGGCCTTGAGGCCGTTGGGTGTGCCCTCGGTGTAAAGCGTGATGTCGGTCTTGATACCCATGATGAGCTGCTGTCTTCTGTCCCGGTGAATTCGTTACTTTTAGTGGTGGAATCTGAATCTGGAATCTGGAATCTGGAATGCTGTATGCGATGTTTCAGTACGAATGTATTATATATCTGATCTGTTTCTTTAATTGCAAACATGATGGAAACTCACGACCATATATAGTAATTTTGGTCGCACAACTTAATGTATATCTCATTGTCTCTCGTTCTGCTCACAACGGTTAGGCATAATTCCGCGGAACTATATTATCCCAGGAGGAGCGGAGTATACATATATGTGGTTCCGTGATGCGGTAAACCACAGCGGCTGTCATACTCATGGAATTAGCACTCATACCCCCCATGAGTAACGGATAGGCCTGAGACTAACAAAATTATTTCTAATCGTTGCTTTGTCAAACGTGTACCGAAGGGCCTGCACGCAATAATTTGGCTGGTGAAAACAGCATGAAGCGGAGTGTCGAACGGAAGGTCCGAGAATGCCTCTAGGGCCCTTGGCATGGGAACAATTCTAATTCATAGGATTATGAAGCGGATCTGTTCCGAAATTTCTCATCCCAGTATTTCTGTGATTTTGAAGTATGCTATTGCGCAAGACATTGGTAAGCTTTGCCAAGACTTTGGTTCCGCGGAACCAATCTACGCAACCCTAAGCTCGGATGGTTTCCCTATGTGCATTGCTCGAACAACACCAAGGGTCCTTTCCATATATCACCAGCATTAGAGTCGTATAGTACGAAACACCATGACGGAGCCTTACAGGCCCAAGATACGAAAGGTTTGCTGAGACTCGGCGTATTACTCGGTGGCGATGACACTAGCTGATACAAAGGCTGCAGGCTTGCGACTTGTGTTATCGCAAACGCATTAGGTGTGATGGCCAGACGCCCCGTTGTTCACACTGCCAGATATATGATTGCCCGTGCACCCATAGGGCTACTAGCCGGCGAAAGAAACCCCCCAAAGTTCATCTGGTCCGGTCATCGAAGCCAACGACATCCATTAATAGCACGAACTCAGACGACGCACTTTACCCAAGTGGATTTAATAGTCATCTTGGGGACAAGGACGATTTACGCCACGACCCCCCAACGCTTACTCTAAATAAGGAGCTGGAATTGCCCTTCGAAGATTTCATGCAACACTCAGCATCCAATAACAATTCGAGCTCAGATGCACTTTTCTCGAGTAGCTCTGGTGTTTCCTGGGACACTGACCATAGAAACCACGACTCCGCAACGCCAAAGCAGATGGAATTGCCTGCGGAAGATCTTGTGCGACAACTGATTGACACGTACCTAGTGAACATTAATTGTATCTTACCACTGTTCGATCCTCAGCAGTTGACCCAAACGGTCGACCTGTGGTACAACAGTCGAACACAACGGTCTCGTATATCTTGGGCGGTGATCAACGTGGTGATGGCCATCGCGCAATACTGCACTTTTGGTTCTGGCCATGCCGAATTTTCCGTTGGCAGTGTCCCAGACTGTCTCGCCAAAGCACAGTCTGCCCTGACAGAAATCCTTATGGGAGATGTGGAACTTGCTAATCTGCAGGTAATATTGGGACTAGTCATCGTCTTTCAGGGTACATCGGATATCAGGCCCGCCGTTTTTCTGGTCTCTACCGCGCTGAGGCTCTGTCAGGTACTGGGCATCCATCGCAGCGACAGCGACTTCTACCGCAATACCACCCCTCGCCAAGCTCTACAAGTGAGGCGAGTCTTTTGGATAGCATATAGCCTTGACCGAAATATTGCTATGCGTATCCGGCAAGCGCCTATCCAACAAGATACAGATATCAATATCGAACTCCCGCCGAAGAAGCCAGATGAAGACGGTGTAGGATTCGTCAGTACGCCTGTAATGTACCAACATGGCTTCAATTTGTTTCGTGCGCATGTCGAGCTTTCTCAGATCCAAGGCTATGTTTACGACGCTCTTCTCTCAGTGCGCTCACTGCAGCTGAGTCCCGGCGAAAGGGCAGCCAGTTGCCATGCAATTCGCCTGTTGTTGAAAGACTGGAAAGGTCGCATACCGGCGACTCTCCGTGCAGAGGCTCTGATCCAGACACAGAGTTATCTTACATGTATCCCGAGGTTCCTCTGTACGCTGTACGGTACGGTTGTTACATGCCTTGGACAACTCTGTCAGGTCAACTCGATGGATTTTCGTTGGTTAGATCAGCTTCGTCTTTATGGACGCAGTATAACTATTGGCCTAGGCGGGTCTTGCCTCCCACCGCCTCAGCCACAAGGGTGGAATGCTCTGGTAAACGAATTTCGAGAGTTCATGCCGTTGTTCATGAGCATCCAAGACAAAGGCCCTGCATTTATCTGGTTAGACTTCCTTCCTTCACTCTTCTCGTATGGATAACGCTGAGCCGTCTAGGATGAACATATGCCCCTACGCATCAGGACTTGTGTGCCTCTCGGCCAACTCGATCATCAACTTTGATAACAGAGACAGCATGGAAGACCAAGATCGGCGTCTGAAAATCGAGGCTGTGAGTGTCTTAGGCGAGATGGCTAAACAGACCAATCACACGACACTGAGCAAAGTCTTGGAGGCATTTATGGAGCTCGACTCTCAATATCGGTTCATGACGGCATAGCATTGCGACAACAGATCAGATAATAAGGACGTATACACATGCGCGTTTGTGCCGCCGCCCAGACCGGAAACAATTGGTTGCTTAGTTAAAGTCGTTCTCTGCTTTCTCGAAGTTGCGTATTGGGCTTGATATTGCAGTATTATTTCAACATAGAGGAGTCCGAGGGTGTATGGAAGAAAATCCCGCTCCGGAAGGCGG